CGATGCTGTAAAAGGAACCATATAAAATGGAACGAAATTTACAATAACAGATCACCGGAAGTTTATCAGTATGGGAACAACACTAGCTCGGCATATACCCTATTAAAAACACTGTAAATATAAGTAGTTTTTATCCGATTTTCTAAACTAGTAGTGTTTTGAAATTAGTGAACGCATAAAAATCGTGATAACCGTGATTATTCCTCAGACTATAATCGTACAATCAAAATCTATAATTGTTGCATTCCTAATCTCGGATGAGTAGGGTCACACAGATTTCTCTGCCTTCTCCTCTTTCCTCTTAGAGCTGTGATGCACTCCAGAATCTGACAGATTGATTAGCTGTAGACTCTAGAACAGTTAAATGTTGTCCTACAGTGTTCTGCCTGGATTTCATCAATAGTCTTGCATTTACTAACACAGACTATAGTTGAAGTGTTTGGAAGTAATTCACATTTTCCTCCTGTAGAAAAACATCATAAGAACAGTGTTTAGTGGCTCAATGTGTTACAGCAGCTGTTGAAATTGAATGAATGAAGGAAAATAGTTTGGGCAAATATTAAATATTTATATAAAGAAGGTGACTGGATGTTCGGTGTACCTTGCTGAAGACTGAAATGATTGTGATTTTATAGTTGTCTATCATTTTTTACATCACTTCTATAAAATGCTGTCTTCACTTTTATTTCAGGCCTGATTGAGGAGACACGCCATGTCAAAATGAGAGGAAGAACTCACTCACTGAAGAGAAAAGACAAAAAATGGGTCACCTGCACTCAGTGTGGGAAGAGTCTGGCAAACAAAAAGAATCTCAAGAGCCACATGCGGATCCACACTGGAGAGAAACCATTCACATGTTCTCAGTGTGGGAAGAGCTTCAGAGACTCATCAAACCTTAATAGACACATGTTGATCCACACTGGAGAGAAAACACACTCATGTGGTCAATGCGGAAAATCATTTCTGTTGGCTTCAGGCCTGAATGATCACCTTAGAGTTCATGCAACTGAGAAGCCTTCATGCTCTGTGTGTGGAAAGAGTTTTGCAAATGAAGTAAATTTAAGAAAACATCAGAAGATCCACACCGGTGTGAGAGAGTATGTGTGCTCTGAGTGTGAGAAGACCTTTATTACAGCTGCAGACTTAAAAAAACACCAGTTGATTCACACTGGAGAGAAACCATACATGTGTTTATATTGCGGCAAGAGATTCAGTCAGTTAGGAGGCCAGAAAACACACGAGAGGATACACACTGGAGAGAAACCTTACAAGTGTTCACACTGTGACAAAAGATTCAATCAATTAGGAAGCCAGAAAACACACGAGAGGATTCACACTGGAGAGAAACCGTACAAGTGTTCACTCTGCAATGAAAGATTCTGTCATTTAATGAGCCTGAAAACACACGAGAGCATTCACAGTGGAGAGAAACCATACAAGTGTTCACACTGCGACAAGAGATTCAGACAGTCATCACAAATGAAATTGCATGAGAGGATTCACACTGGAGAGAAACCTTACAAGTGTTCACACTGCGACATGAGATTCAATCGGTTAGGAGGCCAGAAAAGACATGAGAGGACTCACACTGGAGAGAGACCGTACAAGTGTTCACACTGCGACAACAAATTCAGTCAGTTAAGAAGCCTGAAAACACATGAGAGGACTCACACTGGAGAGAAACAAGTGAGATTCAGTCAGTCAGAAACATTGAAATACACACAAGAGTGTCACGTCAGAGAGTAACATTAACATACAGATATGCAAACTTGCAGTATTGATGGGTTGTTCGGGAACAAATCTTTAATGTGACTCCGCAATAACGAGTCCTTTCACAGAGATTCCTTCATTGCTGTATGTGCAGATAGGGGAATTTATTAATTATTTTATATTCTATCAGGTTTGAGTCGTTCATTAATCACTTGAAATATCTGTCGATCTATCCTCTATGCATTTTGAGCCGGAAAAATGTATTTATTCATCTTTTCAAGTCCTCTGGTTTTTGAGTTGTTGGTCTTTACATGTAACTTGATATCAGGATGGGATGTAGGCAATGGTTAAATCAATATTTTCGTCTGAAAGAGCTCAACTCTCAGTATTCATAGCACCCAAATGTGTTAAACCCTGTCAATACACATTTAAAAGATATTAGATAATGTTTTGTTCTTAAAGTTTAGGATAATTCATTAATATAGATCAATTAAAATATTCTACAATGGCAGTCCATAGAAGCATTTGGGGGAAATGTAAGAAATTTCTTTTTCAATTTTCCAATTTCGCTATTGGTTTACAGAGACAAGTCACCAGCACATACACAAGCAGAAGAATGTAAACAAAGGAACAGCCATTTTAAAAGCAGAGACATTACACCATAATAATATATACATATAATAACAAGCCATGGTCGACGCAAGCTCAAACAGACTATGTCGTCGTCTTGATGAACAGCCACAAGCCAAGAAAAACAAAATGTGCCGTGTCCTATTGTTTTATGAGCCCGTCTAAAGCATGAACGGTTCATGTAATGTAATGAGCATTTATACACAAGTATTTAAGTGTATGAAGCATCTGTTTTGTGAGAAGTGCATCTCATATGATATGTGAATGACCAGTACAGCCGTACTTTGACATTTCCTCGAGTGAGAATGACGTCGACTGAAACTTTCATACACCACGCCTATAGGTACCCTTCTGGCAGTGGAAACGCAAGCCTGATAAAGGTGACCCGTATCGTACTGTACTGTACCACTCATTGGACATGGGTCATAATAGACTGGGAGGGCTATAATCCAGAGGAACCCTCCTGGGTAAACCTGTCACCGGTTCGGTCCCAAAGACTCCCCTCACTCACCAGCAGAGGTCCTCCTCGCCTGAGTTTTGGATTAGCCCCAACTTCATGTCCCATATAAATACTCGCTGGTTCGACTATTCAGTTTAAAGGTTTGTTTTGCCTTGCAGCCATCTCTGAGCATTTATTTTCTGTGTTACTGTGTTTCTCTGTTGCCAACTTGGACTGAATTTTTGGGTTTTCGATTATTATCCAGCAAACAGTTTTGGGTTTAATAGACGTCTAATAGACATCTAAACGTAGACAGCTTGGCTAAAACAAGGCTAAACCTGGGCTGTTAGTGAAAATCTAGTAGGGATCTAAGAATAGCTCAAAAATAGACTAGTCTCCAAAAAGACCGATTAGACAGACTTTGTATTTGTAGTCAGTCATTTCTGTTTATTTGATGACTAGTCTAGTTTTGGACGTCTATTAGAATTTCACTGACAGCCCAAATGTAGCCTTGTTTTAGCCAAGATGACTATGTTTCTACATCTATTAGACATCTGTTATTCATTCATTAATTTTCTTTTCGTAGTTTTATTAATCAGAGGTTGCCACAGCGGAATAAATCGCCTTTTCCAGCATTTGTTTTACGCAGTGGATGCCCTTCCAGCTACAACCCATCACTGGGGAACACCCATACATTCATTTACACACACATACACTATGGACAATTTTAGCTTACCCAATTCACCCGTAGCGCATGCCTTTGAACTTGTGACAAAAATATTCAATTAACTACCCAAGGACTTGAAAGTTGAAGGATAAACTGAGACCTCAGAGATCAAGACTAAATGATCAGAGTTTATAAAATGATTTGAACTATCCATCGATAGTGTGAAGAGATTCAGTCAGTGAAAAAACTAAAAACACCATGAAAAAATTCAAACTGAGAGAAACTGCCGGGATAACACATTTAGCGAAACATTTACTTTTGTGGAAAGGGTGTTTATATCTGAACAATGATAAATACTGGTGTAGGAGATCATTGTCTGGTGAATATTTTGTATTATTAAAACTTTACTGTAAAAATTATTTTTATTAGTTAATCTGCCATTCACGAGTCTTTCATGGTGAGAAATCTCAGGTATTTTGATAACTATACATACAGAAGGTAATGTCCAAACACGCCTTTATATTAGTTCACATTGTTGTTGCAGATGAAATATAACACGGAAAATGTGATTTAAATATTTTCCAGTCGGCTAGATGTTAATTAATAGTCATTCAAACAATGTTACCGAAGCCTCTACTTTTTGACGGTTGGCCTCGCGCGTCCGCCATGTTTGTAGTTTGTTTACACTTTTCCCCCGATTATGTACTACTGATTGATTCGCTTCCAACATATAATAGGAAAAATAAGCGGTTAAAGCACTTAATATGTCTGACGGAAATAGCCGGAAATACACCAGAACCTTTGACATCCTCTTATAAACATTCTGCGGTTTGGATCACTGATTCCATTTCGAACACGCGTTCCCGCCTTCCGCCATTCAAATACAAACCACATGATGGCGTCACCAGCGAGAACTTACAATCGCCCATAAACAAAGCAAAGGGACCAGCGGAGGCCAAGCTGGAGCTAGTCTGCTGGTCCCCCGGGCTCTGCACGGCTGGGGAAATACCAAATTAAACCAAAACAACCTATGATGGCTTAAGATTGGCAAGGATAATTCGGAGATCGCAGCCAGCAGAACCTAGGAATAAAAAAAATAAGTAAAGTAAACAAAGCAAAGCTGCATTTTATGTTGGTTTTGCTCTTTATGTGTATCTAAAAGAACTTTTACTGTGTTCTAAGTTGTATTCTTAGTTGTACTAAGTTGTACAGTTTCTTAAAAAAATGAATAAATAAATGAATAAATAAAGCAAAGTACTGCTGGGAAAGACACAATATCCAGCTCAAATTAAGCGCTGCTTGTATCAGTAACAGATTCATTCATGTACTTTACTACAGTAAAACACTATATAGTATTTATTTCTATTTTTATGTGGGCACTTATATTTAAATGTGTGAAGGCGACTTTGTCTTTTAGTCACAATTAGAGAGTTTTATGTTGTATATCGGTTGTTTGTGCTCTGCAGATCATGATTTCTCTCTAATGAAATGGGATGTGGCGATTAGTGGATGCTGCTGTTATTGTCCTCTAGATGGCAGTAGTGCTGAGCACACAGTTAGCGGAGGCATTATCCGAGTAAAAGCTCAGAGCAAGGAAAACTCGTGTGGAGGTTCAGTGCTGAAGAAATCACGACAACACACTCCAGCTTTTATATTGAACCTTCTGCTGCCAGACTGTTTATCTGACGGACACTTCAGCTGCTTGCCTTTATTCAGTATATATTGGGGCTCAACTGTACATTCCTCTACAGAAGCGATCAGGAACGCTGGACTTTGTTATTTCAGCTGATATTTCATACACAAACAGGTATGATTCTGTCCTTATTTATGATTCTGTCCTTAATTATCAGTTCATATTTTCAGAGGGTATCGTGCAAAAGCAAGATAAAAGGATTAAGATGCAAATTTCACGCTATCCTGACTGAGTCCTTTATACGTAAAAATTAAGCTAAACTATATTGAGTTACTAAGGTTTATTCTTTGACTTTATTACTGGACTCGTGGCTCAATCTCGCCCATTTAGACCCGGGAACTGCAAAAACATTAATCATAAAGTAAACAAAAGAAGTCTGGAGCTCCTCCACTGGACTCTTCTTCTGTAGATGTTTTGTGGTGGATCAGCATTAAAGGTGCTCTACTGTCACCTGCTGGACTGGGGTGTGAAGCACTGATGGGCATTTTAGTTCTGTAAGCTGGACTGTTCGTTTTCTCCTTTTCTTTTTGTATTTTACTATTTTCCAGCATTCATTTGCTCCATTACTGCCGCTACACGAATTATTATTATCCAAAGACCTGAGGAGATTCTCTGCATGAAAGACTTGTGAATAGCAGATTAACACTCAGCTGAATCTCCAGTAATGTAGGGAATTAAATATGGAAGAAATGTGGATGATGTGTGGAGATGATTGAAAGTGGATGTAAAGAATCTTGAAATATGTGTTACTTTGTTTGTGATTTTGAATTTATTTATTTATTTTTGATGTTTCTTTGTTTTTTTTGTATACGGGTTGATTTGTTGAATGAATTACGTTGTTTGGGGACTTTAATTATGACGTCAAAATTGCGGAGCTTACCGGATGTATAAATTGCGTGTAGAAATGAATGAAAACAATGTACGGAACGCTAGGTGAAACACGGTAAAAGGGGCACAGGTATACGGTTGCGTCACGGATTCCTCCTTCATGAGTTATAGCTCCTGTTTAGAGGGAAAAATAAGGTAATTTGGTTTATTTGTTTACTGTTTAATTGTTGATGTTGGCTTAGTGTTAATTTTCGGGATTTATTTGTGTTTGTTGTTTGTTTATTTTCTCTCTAGTTCTTACGGTGATTCATGATTGAATAATGCGAACAAATTCTATGAAGTGTGACCAATAAATGAATCGTGAACATCAGTGGAAGACTAAAGCAGGTCGCACACCAGAAGCGCCGCTCGGCGGCGCGCCGCGCAGCGCCACGCAGCGCCATGTATTTTAGAATTCTAATCATAGGTTTCTATCAGGGTACACACACCGGCGCCGCAAGTCGGCTGCTTTCGGCGGCGCCCGGCGACGGCTCAGGACGCAGTTCATTTTTCAGCCGCGCCACAGAGCGCCATCTGATTAGTTTCATGTTAAATATCATTCGAATGTGCGCGTCTGGTGTGCGATACTTTAAATTGTCATGTACGCGCCGTGTCGCGGCGCCGAGCGGCGCTTCTGGTGTGCGACCTGCTTTAGTCATCTTTTAACCAGGACGCTACAGTGGACGTGACTGAACAACATAACGTTCAGTTAATGAGGAAGGAGTATGTGCCAAAGTTTGCGTACTCTTCTGTTACACACTCAAATGTACTTTTAGGGCTGCAACTAATGATTATTTTAATAATTGATTAATCTGTGGATTATTTTTTGATTATTTAATGAAACAGATTTTTTTTAAATCATTAATTTCCAACCCTTTATTTAAAAACAGAGCTTAAATCTTTAGAAAGTGCACAAACATGTTGTCCTTGAACATCCTTGAGCTGTAATAATGATAATAATTACTAACTTAGTAGTTTTGACCTGTTTTCAATAAAAAAATCTAAAATCAAGATACATACTAGACCACGGCTCTCAAACTCAAATTGGCGGGGGCATATCAGTGACTGACAATTCATATGACGGCCGCTAAAGAGAGCATCCTCTGTCACTGCATCACAGTGTGGTACACAAGCTGCACTGCGGAAAACCGGAGAGCTCTATCCCGGACTGTTAAGACTGCACAGAGGATCATAGGAATTAAACTCCCAAACCTCGATACAGTCTACGCTAGCCGCCTACAGAGGAGAGCTAGCAACTTCATTGAGGACCCTACTCATCCAGGACACAAACTTTTTGCACTACTCCCATCAGGGAAAAGATATAAAGCAATTAAGACTCGCACAAACAGGCTAAAGAGCAGCTTCTTCCCCAGAGCTGTAGCCTGTGCCACCCCTCCTCCTTGTACACATTAACAATCACCCCCCCCTCCCTCACTCCCTACCTTTCTGATGTTCTGCTGCTAATGCACAAAGACACTTTATGGATATTCATGTTTGCACTCATTTGCCATAATGTAAATACTGTGACTATTACATTTAGTATATTTTTATCTTACATCTTATATTTTTAGTATTATGTCTATTGTTGGTTTTTATATATTTTAGTATTATGTCTTATATTTTAGTATTATGTCTATTGTTTGTTTTTCTCTCTTTTTATGTTGCTGCTGGTCTCTGTGAGTTACCAAACAAATTTCGTTGTACAACTACAATGACAATAAAAGTTCTTTACTTCTTTACTTTACTTTAACATTCAAACACAACAAAATAAGTGTAAAACCTGATGCACTCAGACATTTCTTCCCCTGAGTTTATGCAGTCAAAGCTCCTGACATATGAGCAAATGGCCTGCAAGCCGGCAGTTTGAGAGCTTTGTACTAGACACGTGAAACAGCAATAGAAATTATGTCTTGTTTTCTAAAAATAAAAAAAACCTCAAAATTAAGTGATTATTGCAAACAATCTTAATAAGCACAGAGCTTTAAAAAAAAAACAGACTAAGCTTTTCACTCATCATAGCACACGTGCTGCTGCTGATGTGACTAAAAGTGATTTGATTTGACTACATGATTGTCAAAGTAGTGGTGTCACAGATGTTTTCACTCTGCATGATTATCTGGGCTAGTGTTTTGTCGCTGCTTTATTTACACTGCAAGATGGAATGGCGACAGGGGATTTTACACTGCATGACTTTACTAAAGGAAGAATCGCAGACAACTTTTTCCAAACTACGTCTCGCAACCAAACACATTGTAAAGTTACAAATATTTGGCGCCGATGAGATCGATCGTGGTGAATGTTGATCAGCCAGCAATCGAGTGTTTTCAGAGAGAGTGCTGAAAGACTCGGTGGATTAGCTGTTTAATGGTCTGAATCTCGATGCGTTGCATTCACTGCGTGTTCAGCGCAAATGGCGGCTAAATGTAAAATCTAACACTGTACACATCATTGCTAAAGAAGTTTACATTTACTAAGGGTGCTTTCACACCTACACTTTTGTTTCGGAACGTATCTCGTTTGCCCAGTTAGCGCGGTTCGGTTGGCATATGTGAACAGGGCAATCGCGCTCTGTTCCGCGCCAAAGTAATCGCTCCGAGATCGCTTGAATGAGGTGGTCTCGGCTCGATTGAAACGAACCCTGGAGCGGATCGATTGCAGTGAGAAAGCAAACGATCCGAGCGCGGTTATATCACAGTTTGTTATAGATATGTAATAGGCTTACGGCTATATGAAGAGAGAATTATGAGTAGGGCGGGAAGTTTCGCGAGTCTCCGGATGCCCGCAAACGAGTGATGATCTCCCGGTAATCTCGCGTCTCACTCCCGGTCCTCAAATAGGCATCGTCGCGCACCGTTCTCACCCCTCCCCACCGTGTCTCTCCTCAGACACGTCACGCGCACGCACCCTGTCAATCACCACCAAACCACCACCTCTTCTGACAGCTGAGCGATGTAACAATTGTAATCTCTGTTTCGGAACAACTGAATCGATTCACAGGTGTGAAAGCACCCTAAGTTTAAACTGAAACTGCGGCTCATGACAAAGAACGGTGTTGTGCAGGTGCATGGGTCCCGCTCATATTTTGGGTCGGCTGACTCGCCTGCTGTTTTCCACAACCGAAACGTTAAAAGAGTAGTAGAAGTGAGACTTTTCTTCCTTTCTTTCGTCTGCTCTTTCATTGATGTTTCTATTTAGTTACTGATGACTGCTTTGCAGCTTTCAGCATTGAATTAAATGATTATAATCTTACGTTTGTTTTGTAGCAGAAATATTATTTATTACATTGACATGCATATAAAAACAATAGTGCTAAATCTATATTTCTTACTGCAATTCCTCATTTTAGTTTGATGCAAACCGCAGATTTATTTGTCATAATGTAACAGTACTTTTGATAGCCGATAACACTTTCAAGGCAGCATCATGAGAAATGCAATTCATTGTTACTATTATCATCATCATCATCAATAATATATTTTATAATTATTAGACATTCATTTTGGAATTATTGCACAAACATGAATAAGTCATCACTAGGGTTGTAACAATATACCGGTATGACGGTCTACCACGATTTGAACGTGCTGGATTATCATACCATGAACAATTGCATATCAACGGTTTTAACCTTTAAAGACCGAGACAGCCGCCCGCGGCTAAAAATAAGTATTGCTCTTAAATGTTTAATAACTTTTGATCCGCTGATCCGATTCATACAATTCAAAGATTGGCATAAAGAAGAGAATCTCAGCTTCAGTGCTGTATCACATAACATTCGCGGACTTTCAGAGGCTCCGCAATCAGTGCGGTTACGTCATCAAAATTTGACGACGCCGATTTGACAAAGAAACGCTCGTCACTGTGTCTCCGGACAAACCAGACATGATACATTGATGCATTGTCCCTCCTCCATGCCCAGATTGGTTCAAACTCGCTATATCACAACCAATAAGCATAGGTTTCGCTTTTGTTTGTGGACCAACAATGAGCTTTTTGAACAACACGGAATGAGAGATAGGCATACATTTGTGCGCGGCTAAATAAAACGCAAAAAAAAAGTTTTGCATGAAATAATTCTCATACTAAGTACTTTTGCATGCACAGCAGCACAGAAACATGACAAAACAGGGACACAGCAAAGACGAACTGCTGCTCTTGCTGTTTTCAAAAGACGCAAATGAAGATGCAGCTGTTTGTCTGCATTGCAGACAACCATATCCAAATCCATATCCACAGACAACCATATCCATGCTGGCACATAAAACCTAAGGATGTTCCATATTGAATCTAGTTTCATTATGTAACTATTTATAGTATAGTAAATATTTATATCTATTTTTTTACTGAGGATTTGCACCATGTTTATTTGGACTTTATTTGGACTTTGACACATTATTTATTATTTTCTTATTTTTATTTGTTCATTGTAAGTGGTGTTGTTTATAGTAACTAAAAATATATTATTTGGAAAAAGTCAAATTTGCTTCACTGTTCTATTATTTTGTAACATTTGTAACATACCGTATACCGCGAAACCGTCAAACCGTGGTATTGTTTTAGACGATTATCATACCGTGAAAAATTCATACCGTTACAACCCTAGTCATCACAGCATTAGTTAAATAGCTGTTTCTGATTTTTGTTGGTCCTGATTCATGTTGTTTTTAACATTTACATTTAGTCATTTAGCAGACGCTTTTATCCAAAACGACTTACAAATGAAGACAAGGAAGCAATTTACACAACTATAAGAGCAACAATGAATAAGTGCTGTAGGCAAGATTCAGGTCTGTAAAGTCTAAGAAGGAAAGCATTAGTAAATTTTTTTTTGTTGTGGTTTTTTGTAGTAAAACAACAAATCCCTTAATACTTAATTTGCAGTGGTGCTCATTCATTTTTTGGTGCTGCTCCTTGTTGACACTCGGGAGTGCCGGTGCTACCAAGTAAAAAAGTTAATTTCAAGCCCTGCATTAAAAAATGCTATTTTTTTTATTTATTTATGCTTTTATGTATTTATTTATCATTTATTTTCAGTGTAAAATTATTACTTTTGTTTAATTTTTCTTTTAATTACTCACTTTAAAGCACAGAGAGAAATTGACTTTTGTTTGTTTTTAATGTTATTATGTGCTGTATGAAGTGGTTACTGAGCAGCAATAAACAACACTGCAAAATATAAGGAGTTTTCATCTGATTTTCTAAACTAGTAGTGTTTTGAAATTAATGAACGCATAATAATAGTGATAATCGTGATTATTTCCCAGACTATAATCGTACAATCAAAATCTATAATCGTTACATCCCTTATCTTGGATGAGTAGGGTCGCACAGATTTCTCTGCCTTCTCCGTTTTCCTCTTAGAGCTGTGATGCACTCCTGAATCTGACAGATTGATTAGCTGTGGGCTCTAGAACAGTCTGAAATGTTGTCCTACAGTGTTCTGCCTGGATTTCATAATTAGCTTTGCATTTACTAACACAGACTATAGTTGAAGTGTTTGGAAGTAATTCACATTTTCCTCCTGTAGAAAAACATCATAAGAACAGTGGTTAGGGCCTCAATGTGTTACAGCAGTGTTGGGCAAGCTACTTGAAAAATGTAGTGAGCTAAGCTATTAGCTACTCTACTTAAAATGTAGCTTAACTACACTAAAGCTACCCCCTGGGAAATGTAGCAAGCTAAGCTAAAAGCTACTTGGCAAAAGTAGCTTAGCTACATCAAAGCTATTTTTGCAATTTTTATATCGAAGCAACTTAAATCCAAGTCAACCGTATCTCAGCGATCAATAAAACATTTGAGGCATAATTCAGTTCAGTTATTTACTGTAAATAATATGCTGTACTAAACGGTAACACATTATAGCTAGTATATAACAGCTAAAACAAAAACTCCAAAAAAAGCAGGTGATACACATTTAAAATACCATAGTCATTTATAGTAAAGAGAAATATTTTGACATAAGCATAGTGCATATTGTACATATATTTACAACTCTTCATTAATAAATGACACTACATAATACAGTCATTTATAGCAGTGCTTACAGTAAATTACTAGGGATGTAACGGTATTGTAAATACCGTTATACCGCAATATTAATTTTTTTCGATATTACCGTAGTCGCATGACTCTGTAAAACTATAGATCTTCTGAGAAAATTTGCTCAGGCAAATGAAGCGAACGGGAGGTAGCGAAAACTACAATTCCCATCAGCCCAGGCTTGGGCATAATCCCTTGCGGTCTGTTTTCGCTACGGTTCCAGTAATGCGGAAATGGAGTGTGCTGCTAGAAGCAGGGATGAAAAAGAGCTGGAAAACTCTAAAGCGGGTGTTGTCGCCGAGGCGCGTACTGAATAGCGGTGTTGTCGCGCGAGTTCTTATCAGCTGTGTTGTCGCGCGAGTTCTTATCAGCTGTGTTGTCGCGCGAGTTCTTATCAGCTGTGTTGTCGCGCGAGTTCTTATCAGCTGTGTTGTCGCGCGAGTTCTTATCAGCTGTGTTGTCGCGCGAGTTCTTATCAGCTGTGTTGTCGCGCACGTACTGAATAGCGGTGTTGTCGCGCGAGTTCTGATCAGCTGTGTTGTCGCGCGAGTTCTGATCAGCTGTGTTGTCGCGCGCGTTCTGATCAGCTGTGTTGTCGCGCGCGTACTGAATAGCGGTGTTGTCGCGCGAGTTCTTATCAGCTGTGTTGTCGCGCGAGTTCTTATCAGCTGTGTTGTCGCGCGAGTTCTTATCAGCTGTGTTGTCGCGCGCGTTCTGATCAGCTGTGTTGTCGCGCGCGTTCTGATCAGCTGTGTTGTCGCGCGCGTTCTGATCAGCTGTGTTGTCTCGCGCGTTCTGATCAGCTGTGTTGTCTCGCGCGTACTGTAAAGCGGGACGGAGGGTATGTCGCGTCGCGGGGGCACTTTTGATCATTTTGGAAGGGAACTTTCTATCCAAGACTAAAAAGGGCATGTGCTCTGCACAGGTTGAGCCCTGTGTGTGCACGTGCCTGCAAGTTGGGGAATACGACTAATAATCAGTCATGGGGACTGCAGAAACACAGCACACTGTTCAGATTGATGCAGACATGAGACCTCTATCTCACTCATGGTTTGTCCTCTCAAGTGGGGGAAAGACAATGCACAACGTTACCCACTGCTGTCAACCTGGGCCAAGTCATATCTCTCTGTCCCAGAAACCTCAGTCCCAAATGAGAGGGTTTTTTCTGTTGCAGGGGACATTGTAAATACCCAGAGACACCAGCTTTTACCAGATTATAGTTGTATGATAATTTTCCTTTAAACCCATCTCTATCTAAGTGAGTGAGTGATTAAATGTTGAATGTGACGAGTTTTCAACAATACTAAATTGAAACTTAATTTTTTTACATGGTTTAATATTTTTTTGTTATTAAAATTAAAGTTCCTGTTTCAAAGCTTACAGATAGATGGCTAATTTGTATGTCATTGACACTTTTGGCACTTTTTTGGAGTATTTTCATAAGTTTTGTTTTTTCCTGTAAATGATTTAATAAATACCGTACCGTGACATTCATACCGAGGTATTACCGTACCGTGAAATTCTGATACCGTTACATCCCTATAAATTACTAAAGTATTTTTCGAGCACAGCATCAGAAATTAAGTTATTGCATCTTAACATGTACTTCTCAAGGTATGCTCACGAAAAATCCTACTTCAGTTCAGAAATAACTCCTCTCTCTCAGTCATCTTTCCATCAAGGTAATTTCTCGTGCTAGCCTAATTTGGTTTTCAACTTCACCGACCAGAGGTGGCAGTAACGCACCAAAAACTTTGTTGTCGAACACCATAAAACAGGAAGAAGAAGAAATCATGATTCTCGCCATCATATGGATTTACTTTCTTCGGCTAGACACCGTCCTCACAGCTCTGTGAATGTCGCTGCCGTCACTTATTGATCCACGATTGGTAAATGTAGCTTTGTGGATGCTACTGCGCTACTTGGCTAATAAAATAGCTTCGCTACTGAAAAGCTGTTTGATTTAGAAAATAGCGACGCTACCGTCACGCTACTGAGAAATCTAGTTAAGCTAGTAGCATCACTACTTGTAGCGACGCTAATGCCCAACACTGGTATTACAGCAGTTGTTGATATTGAATGAATGAAGGAAAATAGTTTGGGCAAATATTAAATATTTATATAAAGTAGGTGACTGGAAGATCGGTGTACCTTGCTGAAGACTGAAATAATCGTGATTTTATAGTTGTTGTCTACTATTATTTGTTTATATCACTTCTATAAAATGCTGTCTTTTCATATTTATTTCAGGCCTGATGGAGGAGACACATGTTAAAATGAGAGGAAAAACAAAATCACTGAAGAGAAAAGACAAAAAACGTGTCACCTGCACTCAGTGTGGAAAGAGTCTGGCAGACAAAAAGAGTCTCACGATCCACATGCGGATCCACACCGGAGAGAAACCAGTCACATGTTCTCAGTGTGGGAAGAGTTTCAGAGACTCATCAGCACTTAGTAGACACATGTTGATCCACACTGGAGAGAAAACACACAAGTGTGATCAGTGCAGCAAAACATTTCTTAGGGCTTCAGAGCTGAATGATCACCTTAGAGTTCATTCAACTGAGAAGCCTTCATGCTCTGTGTGTGGAAAGAGTTTTTCAAATGAAGTAAATTTAAGAAATCATCAGAAGATCCACACCGGTGTGAGAGAGTATGTGTGCTCTGAGTGTGAGAAGACCTTTGTTACAGCTGCAAACTTACAAAAACACCAGATGATTCACACTGGAGAGAAACCGTACAAGTGTTCACACTGCGACAAGAGATTCAGTCAGATCTCGCATCAGAAAACACACGAGAGGATTCACACTGGAGAGAAACCGTACAAGTGTTCACACTGCGACAAAAGATTCAATCAATTAGGAAGCCGGAAAATACATGAGAGGACTCACACCGGAGAGAAACCGTACAAGTGTTCACACTGCAATGAAAGATTCTGTCATTTATTAAGCCTGAGAACACACGAGAGCATTCACACTGGAGAGAAACCATACAGGTGTTCACTCTGCGACATGAGATTCAGTCAGTTATCACAAATGAAAGCACATGAGAGCATTCACACTGGAAAGCAACCGTACAAGTGTTCACACTGCGACAAAAGATTCAATTGGTTAAAAAGCCAGAAAAGACATGAGAGGACTCACACCGGAGAGAAACCAGCGAGATTCGATCAGTCGGAAATATTGAAAAACACACAAGAGGGTCACGTCTGAGACAGGGCTGCTCGATTTTGGAAAAAATCATAATCACGATTATTTTGGTCATGATTGTAATCACGATTATTCAAAACGATTATCAGTTGAAGTCAAAATTATTAGCGCTCCTGAGAATTTAGTTTTTTTAAACAACTATTTCCCAAGTTAAGTTAGAGCAAGGAATTTTAACAGTATTTCCTCTAATATTTTTTTCTTCTAGAGTGTTATTCGTCTTAATTCGTGGATTTGTCTTATAAGTTTAATTTGTTTTATTTTAGCTAGAATAAAAGCAGGTTTAAATATTTTGAAATCCATTTTAAGGTCAATATTATTAGCCCCCTTAAGCTATATATTTTTTGATTGTCTGCAGAAGAAACTACTGTTATACAACGACTAGCCTAATTACTCTAATTAAGCCTTTGAATTGCATTTTAATTTGAATGCTTGTATTTTGAACAACATCTAGTAAACTGTTATGTACTGTCATCATAGCAAAGATAAAACAAATCAGTAATTAGACATTCATTCATTCATTTTCTTGTCGGCTTAGTCCCTTTATTAATCCGGGGTCACCACAGCAGAATGAACTGCCAACTTATCCAGCAAGTTTTTTTTAGGCAGCGGATGCCCTTCCAAGCCGCAACCCATCTCTGGGAAACATCCACACACACACACACTCTTATAAACTACGGACAATTTAGCATACCCAATTCACCTGTACCGCATGTGTTTGGACTGTGGGAGAAACCGGAGGAAACCCCCTCGAAGGCAGGGAGAACATGCAAACTCAACTCAACACAAAAACGCCAACTTAGCCGAGGTTCGAACCAGCGACCTTCTTGCTGTGAGGTGAACGTGCTACCCACTGCGCCACTGCCTCGCCATATAGTAATTAGACATGATATATCAAAACTATTATGTTCAGAAATAAGTAAAAAAAAAAAAAAAACTTTCCATTAAACCGAAATTTCACTATTGTCACTTTAATGGTTTCTCTTTCACGTGTCTTTTGATTCTCAACTCGTTTGTTTATTACGCAAATGAGGGTTAATATGAATAATCACTAATCACCGCGTTTTGACACCTATTTAACCATTAAAGCGCTCACGTTAAGATTACTTAGATGTCTGCGCTCCTCTGCAGGTCTCAGTGTGCGAATGAGACCGAATGCTGACCGCGTGCTTATGTGTGCGCGTGTTGCACACACACATAAGCACGCGGTCTTTCATGCTTTTGGTATGATTGGTATATAATGCATTAATCGTTTATCTTGATTAATGGTTTTCATAATCGTTAGAAGCCATAATCGAAATCGGATTTTCGATTAATTGCACAGCCCTAGTCTGAGAGTAACCTTAACATACAGATATGCAAACTTGCTGTATTAATGGGTTATTCTGGAACAAATCTTTAATGTGACTCCGAATAACGAGTCCTTTCAGAGTGATTGTTTCGTTGCTCTGTGTGCAGATAGGGGAAATTATTAAATATTTTATATTCTATCTGGTGTGCGTCGTTCATTAATCACATGAAATATCCCCATCGATAATGTGAAGACATTCAGTCAGTGAAAAAACTAAAAACACCATAAGAGGATTCAAATTGAGAGAAACTGCCCGGATAACACATTTAGTGAAACATTTACTATTGTGGAAAGAGGATATATGTCTGAACATTGGAAAAATACTGGTGTAAGAGATCATTAAATGCTGGATATTTTGTATTATTAAAACTTTGTTGTAAAAACTATTTGTATTAGTCTACATTATTATAAAACTAATTTTCTTATAATGTTAAATCCTTTTTGCTGCTTTATTACATCATATCAGTAAAATATATTAACATTTAAAGTGTTTTCTGTGTTGCATGTCCACACTTAAGATGTTTACTTATGACACATGATGTCCACTGCAGGAAAGCAGAGATAATCGCTCGTTGTGATACAGATACACAAAACAAGGTAGGAACACCTCAGTAAAGAGAATAACTGGAAGAAATACAGGGATGAAATAAGAGAAATGAAACTGTCAGTCTACACTTTTTGAAATTAAATTTGAAATGAGTCCAAACTTCTCCATACTGAACTCATTTGCTGTGTCCCATTTCTTATTCTTATACTAAGTTCTAGTCATCTCGACACATCCACGTTTCTTTCATATTTAATTGCCTATCATATTGGAGAAGCAGCAGCAGGTTAATCTGCCATTCACGAGTCTCTCATGCTGAGAAATCTCCTCAGGTATTTAGATAAATACACATGCAGAAAGTAATGTCCAAACACGTCTTTATATTAGTTCACATTGCTGTTGCAGATGAAATATAACACAGACAACGTGTTTTAAATATTTTCCAGTCGGCTAGATGTCAATTAATAGTCATTCAAACGATGTTATCGAAGCCTCTACTTTTTGACGGTTGGCCTCTCGCGTCCGCCATGTTTGTAGTTTGTTTACACTTTTCCCCCGATTATGTAGTACTGATTGATTCGCGTCCGACGTATAATAATATTGTGGGCAAAATTAGCTGTTAAAGTGCTTCAGATGTCTTACTGAAATAGCCGGAAATACACCAGAACCTTTGACATCCTCTTGTCAACATTCTGCAGTTTGGAACACTGATTCTATTTTCGAACACGCGTTCCCGCCTTCCGCCATTCAAATACAAACCACATGATGGCGTCACCAGCGTGAACTTACAATCGCCCATAAACAAAGAAAAGCTGCATTTAATTTAGGTTTTTGCTCATTATGCTCATCTAATGTGATTATTATGTAAAAGAAGCGTTACTTTAACTGTATTCTAAGGTGTATTATGCAGTTTCTTAAAAAATAATAATGAATAAACAAAGCAAAGCACTGCTGGGAAAGATTGCGTAACGGGATCCAGCTCAAATTAAGCGCTTCTTGTATCAGTAACAGATTCATTCATGTACTTTACTAAAGTAAAACACTAAATAGTATTTATTTGTATTTTTATGTGGGCACTTCTATTTAAATGTGTGAAGGTGACTTTGTCTTTTAGTCACAATTAGCGAGTTTTATGTTGTATATCGGTGGTTTGTTCTCTGCAGATGATGTTTTCTCTCTAATGAAAGGGGATGTGGCGATTAGTGGATGCTGCTGTTATTGTCCTCTAGATGGCAGTAGTGCTGAGCACACAGTTAGCAGAGGCATTATCCGAGTAAAAGCTCAGAGCAAGGAAAACTCGTGTGGAGGTTCAGTGCTGAAGAAATCACGACAACACACTCCAGCTTTTATATTGAACCTTCTGCTGCCAGACTGTTTATCTGACGGACACTTCAGCTGCTTGCCTTTATTCAGTATATATTGGGGCTCAACTGTAAATTCCTCTACAGAAGCGATCAGGAACGCTGGACTTTGTTATTTCAGCTGATATTTCATACACAAACAGGTATGATTCTCTCCTTATTTATGTTTCCTTATTTATCATTTCATATTTTCAGAGGGTATCACAAAAAGCAAGATAGAAGGATTAAGATGCAAATTTCACGCTATCTTGACTGAATTATAACCCTGAGTTCTTTTTAAGCAAGTAAAAATTAAGCTAAACTATATTAAGTTACTAAAGATTTATTCTTTGTCTTTATTACTGTACTCGCAGTTCAAACTCGCCCATTTAGAAGCAAAAACTTTAATAATAAAGTAAACACAGAACAGAAGTCTGGAGCTCCTCCACTGGACTCTTCTTCTGTAGATGTTTTGTGGTGAATCAGCATTAAAGGTGCTCTACTGTCACCTGCTGGACTGGGGTGTGAAGCACTGGTGGGCATTTTAGTTCTGTAAGCTGGACTGTTAGTTTTCTTCTTCTACTTTTTTTTTTGTACTTTTATTCATTCATTACTACCGCTACACAAATGATTATTATCCAAAGACCTGAGGAGATTCTCTGCATGAAAGACTTGTGAATAGCAAGAAATGTGGATGATGTGTGGAGTTGATTGAAAGGGGACGCGACTAAACAACATAACGCTCAGTTAATGAGGAAGGAGTATGTGCCAAAGTTTGCGTACTCTTCTGTTACACACTCAAATGTATGTACTTTTTAGGGCTGCAACTAACAATTGTTTTACATCTCACAGCCAAACACGTTGTAAGATTACAGACAATAGTGCTTATGAGAGCGATTGTGGTGAATGTTGATCCGCCAGCAGAGATCAATCTAGTGTTTTTAGAGAGAGTGCTGAAAGACTCGGTGGATCAGCTGTTTAATGGTCTGAATCTCGATGCGTTGCATTCACTGTGGGTTCAGCGCAAATGGCCGCTAAATGTAAAATTTAACACTGTACACATCATCGCTAAAGAAGTTTACCTTTACTAAGTTTAAACTGAAACTGCGGCTCATGACAAAGAACAGTTTTGTGCAGGTGCATGGGTCCCGCTCATATTTTGGGTCGGCTGACTCTCCTGCTTTTTTTCACAACCGAAACGTTTAAAGAGTAGTAGAAGTGAGACTTTTCTTCCTTTCTTTCGTCTGCTCTTTCATTGATGTTTCTATTTAGTTACTGATTACTGCTTTGCAGCTTTCAGCATTGAATTAAATGATTATAATCTTATGTTTGTTTTGTAGCAGAAATATTATTTATTAAATTGACATGCATATAAAAACAATAGTGCTAAATCTATATTTCTTACTGCAATGCTTCATTTTAGTTTGATGCAAACCGCAGATTTATTTGTCATAATGTCAGTACTTTTGATAGCAGATAACACTTTCAAGCACATTCAAGGCAGCATATTGAAACATGCAATTCATTGTTACTATTATTGTCATCATCATCATCAATAATATATTCTATAATTATTAGACATTCAGTATCATTTATTCAATTTGCAGTGGTGCTCATTCATTTTTTGTGGGTGCTCCTAAATTTTTGAAGTTGGTACTTTGGAGTACCGGTGCTACCAAGTAGAGATGCAACGATATAAATTTTTTGGCAGATACCGATAATTCTTCAGACTTGGAGGCCGATATGTATGGGACGATAATTATAAATATTTTAAAATGTTATATTTTTATTCAGCAAACTTCATTAAAGATTGAACCGCTCCTATGAACTGAATAGTCTATATTCAAAGCAAAAAAAGCTATCCTCTCAAAATTGCATGGTGATTATAAAGACCTATATTCACCATTTCACATTTATCAGCATGCAAAACATTTATTATTTCCTTTTCTTCATAGCAAATAACATGCAACTTGTTGCATAAAAATAATAGGTTAAATAAAAAATGGGATTAAACCCCAAACAACATGGGATTTAATCAACAAGCAAATTAAATATATTTTAAATAAGATGAAAATGAAAGAGTGAAGTACTAAAACCAGCTCAAATGTACTTGAATAAAACGTGTTCAAGTGATGTACACATGTAAAATGTAATGTCCGAAAATGCCTTTTTTAGAGGTGTTTTGACAGTTCAGAGCCACCGTACAAGCGAAAAGCTAAATACAGATAGTATTACTTTAGAAAATGCGGCATAGATTCATCCTATTTGGCGTTTTAGATTCTTTTGAACACATGTAGCTGCTGCTTGTCAATCAGACAACGCTTCTGTGCTCGTTCTTGCTATCAATTGCGGGAAAAATGATTGATGAAAAGTTTATGATAAACCGCTGTGGGGTTCACTCAATTGCAGGCTCAGACAAACACAGTGCAAAGAGAATATGCGACGAGTTGAGAGCCCCTCTCCCCTGTGCTGATCTGAAGGCTGTCAGATCAGTGTGTGTGTGTGGGGTGACATGCAGCCCTCACGCGCGCTCGTTATAATCAAAATGAAAATTCCGATCAAACTGAATACAATCTTACATCAACAACACATGGCAAGCAACGCGTTGATAATAACAAATAATCATATTAGATTACAAACAACCCATTGAGTTGTTAAGCACGTGTGCATCTCTGCTATTATGTTTGCACATGTAATATTTTTTCCTGAGGCGATTTAAATCAAAATACACAACGCCACTCAATCAAACATGTCTACAATGATAAGGAACATGGTTAATCACTGAGTTATTAACACACAGCAATACCACATGAAGAAATGACGGACTTTAAAGGAATAATCAATGTGAGGAGAGATCTATTATAGTGCACTGGACAAGTCTAAACAAGTTTCTTAACAATAAAAAGTTATGTGCTGTATTAATTGGTTACTAAGCAGCAATAAACAACACTTTAAAACATAAGGAGTTTTCATCTGATTGCTAAACTAGTAGTTTTGAAATTAATAAATCCATAATAATCGTGATAACCCTGAATAGTTCTCTGACTATAATCATACAATCAAAGTTTATAATCGTTGCATCCCTAATCTTTTATGACTAGGGTCGCACAGATTTCTCTGCCTTCTCCGCTTTCCTCTTAAAGCTGTAATGGCTCGTTTCCACTGACTGGTACAGTACGGTACGATACGGGTTGGTACGGGTCACCTTTATCAGGCTTGCGTTTCCACTACCAAGGGTACCCTTTTGTTGGGTGTGGTGTACGTTAAAAAGTTTCCGTCGCATCATTCTCGCTCGAGAAAATGTCTACAATAAAGCTGTACGGGTCGCTCACATATCATATAAGAAGCACTTCTCACAAAACAGACGCTTTACACACTTAAATACTTGTGTATAAATGTTTAGTCATTATTTAAATGCTTCTCCTTTGTTTTTTTGCGCTTCACTCTCGCGTTTGTCAGTACCTGACAGGATCGGGTTACAAAAGCACGTCAATAATCAAGCGCACATTATTATCATCAGCTCAAGAAGTTTGTTATGTCAGATATAGACGCGCGGCGAGCGCAAGCAAGAAAGCGAAACCGCTCGCGCTTCAGACTGGCTCGTGAAAAACTATGAGGCACAGGGTAAATCTGCTCTGTATATAAAGACGGTGACTGGAAGATCGGTGTACCTTGCTGAAGACTGAAATAATCGTGATTTTATAGTTGTTGTCTGCTATCATTTGTTTATATCACTTAAATAAAATGCTGTCTTTTCATATTTATTTCAGGCCTTATGGAGGAGACACACCATGTTAAAATGAGAGAAAAAACTCACTCACCGAAGAGAAAAGACAGAAAACGTGTCACCTGCACTCAGTGTGGGAAGAGTCTGGCAAACAAAGAGAATCTCAAGAGCCACATGAGGATCCACACCGGAGAGAAACCAGTCACATGTTCTCAGTGTGGGAAGGGTTTCAGAGATGCATCAAACCTTAGTAGACACATGTTGATCCACACTGGAGAGAAAACACACAAGTGTGATCAGTGCGGAAAATCATTTCTGTTGGCTTCAAGCCTGAATGATCACCTTAGAGTTCATTCAACTGAGAAGCCTTCATGCTCTGTGTGTGGAAAGAGTTTTGCATACGAAGGAAATTTAAGAAAACATCAGAAGATCCACACCGGTGTGAGAGAGTATGTGTGCTTTGAGTGTGGGAAGACTTTTATTACATCTACAAGCTTACAACAACACCAGATAATTCACACTGGAGAGAAACCTTATATATGTTCACACTGCAGCATGAGATTTAGTCAGTTTTCACATCTGAAAACACACGAGAGGATTCACACTGGAGAGAAACCGTACAAGTGTTCACACTGTGACAAGAGATTTACTCAGTTGGGAAGCCAGAAAACACATGAGAGGACTCACACTGGAGAGAAACTGTACAAGTGTTCACTCTGCAATGCAAGATTCGGTCATTTATTAAGCCTGAGAACACACGAGAGGATTCACACTGGAGAGAAACCGTACATGTGTTCACACTGCGACATGAGATTCAGTCAGTCATCACAAATGAAATCACATGAGAGGATTCACACTGGAGAGAGACCGTACAAGTGTTCACACTGCGACAAAAGATTCAATCAGTTAGGAAGCCAGAAAAGACATGAGAGGACTCACACCGGAGAGAGACCGTACAAGTGTTCCCACTGCGACAACAGATTCAATCAGATAGCACATCTGAAATCACATGAGAGGATTCACACTGGAGAGAGACCGTACAAGTGTTCACACTGCGACATGAGATTCAGTCAGTTAAGAAGCCTGCAAATACATGAGAGGACTCACACTGGAGAGAAACAAGTGAGATTCAGTCAGTCAGAAACATTGAAAAACACACAAGAGTGTCACGTCTGAGAGTAACCTTAACAGATATGCAAACTTGCAGTATTGATGGGTTGTTCTGGAACAAATCTTTAATGTGACTCTGCAATAACGAGTCCTTTCAGAGTGATTCTTTCATTGCTGTATGTGCAGATAGGGGAATAGTTCAAGAGGTCAATAGTTAAATCAATATTTTTATTTGAAAGAGCTCAACTCTTTTAGTATTCACGGCACCCAAAATGTGTTAAACCCTGTCAATACACATTTAAAAGATATTAGAGAATGTTTTGTTCT